GCCTTTCCCCACTTTTTTTTTAGCCCTTTGGAAAATGTAAAGGGGGGATTCCCCCTTGTTGTTTCCGTTGTTGAGGGGGAAAAAAGAATACACGGTTTTGGTTTGGACCCTGGCGGCCCTGGCGGCAGAAAAGGGTTTCCCCGGGGGCAAAAGGGCTTTTCCCTGGATGCCAAGCCCCCCCCATACCCCCAAACAGCCTTTGGGGGTGGCCCCCTTTTGGGTTGTTTTTTTTTTCACTTAAACCAGTAGGTAAATAGTCCCGCAGAACATTTCCATTTTTTTTTTGGTGTTTGCCAGGCCCCCCCGTGGAAAAATTCCTTCAAAACCCATTTCTTTCCACCCAATAACGTGGGGGAGAAAAGGGAAAACATAGTTAAAAAGGGCCCCGGGGGGGGGGGGGGGGGAGGCGAGGAGTAAGAGATGGACGACGACGACGACAACAACAGCAACAACAACAACAATAAAAACAACAGAGCCACACTACACCATGTGAATGATGGTTGATTTGGTAAAAGGACGGCAGGTAGCGGGCTAGACTTGTTTCGTGTTCGTATCGATGTCGGTTGTCAGGGGAGCAAATCACCACTTGTCCGGATGCAGCAGTACAAGGGAGAGTCGACGAGACATGAGTACGAGTAAACGTGTGCACTGCTGTACGCGAGAAAAGCAGCGTTGCATGCAGGATGGACACGCCAAGTGGTCACAGTTCGCCGACTACGCCGCTCCTTCGCCTATCGTTTTTTCCGTGGCCATCTCCGCGGCAACACCTCCGCCGCCTCCCGCCAGCAACCTCCACATTCACCCTCCAACATGTCACCCAACATCGTCATATACTATCATAGCTCTATCCACGAGCCCAGTCCGTCACTACGGCAGAGGGGAGTTTACAGCAGCAGTACAGCAGTCAGTCACGTGCGTTACCTACCATGGTATACCTTTTCGTCGTGTGCAGTGTTCTTTCTTTTCCGTGGAACATCTCCACAGCATGCAACTTGTAACGAGTTACCAATAACGGCAGCAGCATGATGGCACCCTACAGCAGTAACCCTCCCCTCACTGTTGCAGCAGAAATACTCCAAGACACCCATACGATTGGGGCCTCATTATCTCGAACGGGCCTCCTGTGGTCTGCCTACCATGCATGTTGCTGTTGTTGTTGTTGTTGTTTCTCTCACATGAGCTCTACATAGTCCACAAAAATAGGGAGCCCGTGGTCGCAAAACCCGGCACATACGACCCCGCGGGGAAACAAAACAAGAATAGAGTACAAACCACTCGGAAAAAGAACGTATGCAATGCTGTATAACATGCTGCATCCTGTAAAACGAAAGCCCATCTAAATACATTTGTAAATCTGTTGTGGAAAGAAAACAATCCCTCTCAGCTGTAACGTTGCAACAGGCCAGTCTATTGCAGTGATGCCCCCTCAGCAGCGCCGGTTTATTCCCGAAAGCACCGCCACTATACCGGGTGGCCGTACCGCCACTATTCCATTCCAACATTCAAAGTACGGAACGACTTGTGGTCACTTGATGATTCCGTCATGTTGTGCCCGCCCAAACCACTGCTCCGAGTATTAGTTTTCCTTACCGGCAATATTCAAAGGGCACTTCCACACAGCAGCGGAGGGGCCGCATCCTGCTGTATCATAGCATAGCTGAGACACATGGTGCGAGGTTGGACAAAAAACACCTGTCGTTTGCACGGTGGACTACTGCTGTAGGCAGCTAGATCTTCACTGCGCTTCACTGCTGCTGCTACTAGCTGCCGTGGCTGCTGTTGGAGTGTAGTAGTACCCGACCTGTTGTTGGTGTTGGGATGTGCTGTTGGGTGCGAAGATACCGCCGTCTTGTTCTGTCTATTTTCTATATAAAACATGCAACACGTCCCGGATTGATCAAGACGTACAACATGAGACCTGCGAAAAACCATGGAGGCATGCCATGCGCTGAGCGTGACCACGAATTGCCCGGCCCGCCGATTGTACGGCAAAGCCCCTCTGCTCCCAACGCACCGACGCCACCGGTGGGAAAATTGCCGCCCAAAATCCCGCGTATGCAACACGTTGCTGTTTGGTGTGATGCTCCTTGCTGCATGAACGGCGTGTGTAAGACATTCAACATGACGCGCGCCGTCAGGACAGCAGCTGCTAGTGCACACAGGGGACATCAGCTACGAGATCCTCCCCCCTCAATGGGTTGCTTCCATAAGAGAGGGCGATGGCGCCGCGGGGGTCGGTATGCACACACAGGAAACGGGTGTGTGAATAGATCATCACACAGGTCTGGTGTATTTGCTGTCCCTTGATCTAAAGACCAGGCTTCCCGTTTGATGCACGGTTGTGTGCGTGCGAGCTACCGCTGCATTCTCGAGGACGGCACATCGCTGTGGAGGGCAAAAGCTCTTCCCTGTGCCGACTCAAGCCCTGCAGCACACCAACCCCTGAATCTGCCCTCGGCAACCAAACTGTTTCCGCTGTTGCTTGCGAAGAGCGAGAGACACGAGCGCTCTTGCCTTCGCCGGAGAGCAAACACCCGCATGCAAACAAAAAATCACCCGAAAGGAGCAGAGCGCCTGTGATCCGCACGTTCACTGTCATGCGAGATCTGTGTCCCGCAAAGCAACAGCTAGCTCACCTTGTTCCGAGAAGAGGCGAAGCTCCTAGTGCCGCTTTGACTCTACGCCAAAGAGAGACAAAGAGAGCAATCCGATCTCCGTCCCTTTGTTGGTGTGCAACGGGTGAGTGGGTGCTCGGAATGCACGCACCCGTTTGGGGGGTTCGCAGACTGGAACCTGCATTTTTACTTAGAAATAGAGGCGAGGGGGGCTAAACATCCGGTCGCGCCGCACAGCGCAGGTGCAGCAGCAGAGCACACAGAGCAGGCATCCCTCCACTCTGCAGAAGGAGCAGTAGCAGAGGCGGCACGGGGAGATATTCGGCGCGGAAACATGGCGCTGGGGACGGCGACAGTCGGGTTGCTGCTGCGATTGTTCTCTGTCCTCGTTGTTGCAGAGGTGAGCTAAAGATTCTTTCATCAACACACGCGTCGTGCCCTTCGAGTCGCTACAACACATACCCGCATCCCTCAGAGAGACCTCACAGAGGTCTTCGCGGCATGTCCCTGGAAAAGGCGTTGCGGTTGCGTTGCTCGCGTCTTCGGTGAACTTATCGTTGCGTCAAACTCTATTGTTGCGTTTCCTTGTATATACGACGCCGTCGTCGATGCTTTTGGGCGAGAGGTTGTTGGCGCTCGGTCGTTGGTACACTTCTTTTCTTTTTTGCGCGCGATCGGGGCGTTGCGGGTGATAACTGCTCCCGGCGAGGGAGAGAGGGAGAGGGGACCAGAGAGCAACGGGCGGCCATAGCGCAACCGTCTAGAAAGTCGATCGTCCTGAGCGGGCGTGTGAGCTCTAGCTTCACTCCATGCAGCATCCTGATTAGAACCCGTCGCTGGCGTGTGGCACGAAACATGCGCGGCAGCAGAGCATGATGCATACGAAAGTCATCCAGCAGTAGAGCAGTCTCGAGACGAGAGAGGGCCCGAGAGGGCAAAAGCGCAAAAAGTGCTGCCTGCGAGATTGGCTTGACCGGCCATTATATGGATTCTACAAGTAGTGAAGAAGGCATGGGAGTTGCAATCCCAGATTGCTGTTGGCGCACGGGCCGTGCGGCTAGCCTTGCGGCTATGGCGTACATGCGCACTATTGCTTGCTTGTCTCGACGCCACCTTCAATCACACTTCTGTGTTGTTTCCCCACGCATATGCATGGTACTTTTGCTTGTTGTAGGATAGCGTATGCGTGTGCACTCAAGCTGGTAGACTAAAGGCAAACGTAGTGAATTCTAGTACTTTCTGGATGGCATGCGCCGTGCCTCTCACTTTTCGTGGCTTGTAAAATAGCCCTGCTGTTGCTTCCCTGGCTTCCTAGTGACCTATCCGGCCCACGCTACCATTCTTTCACTGCTGTACCAGAGATGCGACACAAGTATTTTACACGTGCTCCCTGCGATTGTGTGCATATGCGTATCATATCATGTGCAAGAGACGCTGGCCATCTTCATGTGTAATCGCGTAAACCGTTTCATGTGATGTTTATGGCATGGATAGCAGGACGTAGCGGGCCGCGCGCGTTGTTCATTTCCATGAGTATAGACAGTCTTCTGTGTTTTGAAAATACTGCCTCCGATTGGCTTCCGATTGCCGAGCGGTATCGGAATGCTGTAGCCTACAATAGGGGTATCTATCTCTTGTTCCTTGATAAAAAATAAGAAAAATGTGCCATGTACCTACGTAACATTACTTAAAACTTAACACCAGGTAGGCGGCCCTTGTCGAGAAGGTGCCACATTTTGTCTTGTTCCTCAACACTCAACACTCAACATTGTGCATTGTTTCATCGATACACCATCATCGAGATGCCGTCGTTCTTGCATGTTCTCCCAAGCGACTTGCTGTTTGCTGAAAGAAGTTGTATGCATACAGAGTAAGTGTTTGTTGCCGTCTCTGGGTGTCTGTCGCCCGTCTCCGAACGTGTGTTCCCTTTCGGGAGGACATCGGTCTAGTACCGGCCTGAAAACAAATCGTGGGGCAGCCGGCTAGCGCGGTCGATGCCAGTCAAAAGAAACACACAAACACATATTATTTTTCATGGTTTGCCGGTTCTCGCGACCGATGCTAAACCCTACCCCCCCCCCCCCCCGTCC